TCCAGCCTTTCTATGTGTCACAGCTGTTCTCCAGACAGCCAAAGGGTCTTGCCTCCTCTGTATAAGACCGCAGGACTAGAATGCCCAGTCTGTCTCTCAACCTGCTCACTCCCCAGGGTGAATGTCCACCTGTATGATCTCCCTTTTCCTCTCAGTTCCCTCCCGGGAGCACAGGTCTCGACCCGGTGCTTTTCTTCCCATCCTACCTGGGATGGGATTATGGGGGAATCTTTCTTGCAGCTTTGGTTGTATAGGAGTCCTTCTGCCAGTTTCCACGTAGTTTTTGGTGAGAATTGTTCTACATGTAGATGTATTTTTTGATGTGGGGGGAGGTGAGCTCTACATCCTCTTACTCTGCCATCTTGATCACCCTCCCACTCTTTCTTTCTCTCTCCTTTCCTCCTCTCATTCTCTCCCTTTCTCTACTCAGGGAACTGTGTGGTACTTGGGGTCATTTCTCATCTGTACTCCAGAAGTCTTTGGAGCTAACAGGAGTCTTGTGCATACTCACCTGGGCTTGGACCCGCCATCTTCATAACCACATGCTCCAGACTCATGGACTTGGCTCCTTTCAAACCAACAATGTCCATATTGGCAGCTTTCATCCATTCATTCAACAAATACTTACTCGAGGCCTGCCCTACGCTCAGTCCTGGTCTGGGGTTACTGTGGTAAACAAGACAGGTGTGGCCCTTACTCTCATGAAAGTTAGTGAGGAGAGAAAGGAATGAACAAATACACAACGTGATTTTGGTGGTAAGTGCCGTGAAGAAAAGAAAGCAGGCTGATGCGGGAGAGAGTGACTGAGGTTGTCAAGACAGGCCTCACAAAGAGGTGACGCTCGAGACCTAGATGATCAGACTGCACCAGATCACCAGGCAGGTTTCTCTGTTGAAAATAACAGGATCCGACTGTAGTTAACTGTAGTAAGCAGAAAAGGAATGCACTGGAAGGGTATTGGGTACTTCAGAGAATGGGCGGGAGGCCTGGAAAATTAGGCCAGCACAGAGGCGGTTGCTAAGGGAGGCTGGCCAGAACACTGGCCAAAATCATGCTACAGCTGTTTCTTGTTAGGACCCACAGGCACTAACTGCTCTGGATACTGACCTCGAACCCTGGACCCACAGGCACACCACCACCAGAGGGACCTCCAAACTGGGCCTGATCACCGCAGACCACAGGTTGTTCACAGGTAAGCCGGGGTTGCTCCCATCTCACACAGAGTGAAAGCCACAGACTTTCTAATGTCGTCCTTGATCCGGTCCCCCGTTCCCTATGCTCTCATCTACCCTTCTTTCCTCGCCCCAACCTGCTCCACCCACATCGCTCTCCTTGCAGTTCCTGTCACACCAAGCCTACCCCCACCTCTAGGGGCACTGGCTGTTCCCTCCACTTGGAGCACTTCAAGTCTCCCCGGAACTCCCCCCTTCACCTCCTCCAAGTCTAAGCTCAAAAGTCACCTTCTCTGGAGGCCCACCACATCTCCCTATTTAAGCCCAGCCTCCCCTGCCCACAGGATTCCTTTATGCCTTTTCTTTCCCTTGTCGTCATTTAACATGTTATGTTTACTGTTCATTAACTGTCTTGCTGATGAATCTGCCCCAGGTGCCTAGACCAGTGGCTGGCCTTGGAGTTAACACTCCACAGCTGTTGGTTGGGTGTGTAGATGATAACATGGCATAAAATGTCTTGGGAGGCATAAGTTGAATCCTGGTCTGTCACTAACCAGCTGTGATTCTGCACAAATATTTTACCCATCTGTAACATGGGCACCTACCTCAGATGGATTCTTGGTGAAGAGTAAACGAGACAATGTGCAGAATAAGCCCTGGTTGCCGGGCTCTCGTTCTTTCCTGTTCACCCATTCAGATCTATTAAGATGAGTCTCCCAAGCCCATATGATCACAATGAACGCTTCCATTTACTTTGGATTATATGTCATTAGAAATATTAACAAATAAGACAAAAGTACAAAAATTGTGTGTGGGGCTGCAGTTTCAGGACTGTTTCTGCAGCCGTCACGTGATAGCAAAACGGCGGTAAGCAGTGCACGAGTCTGCGTGGAAGACAGCCAGAGTCCATGCATCGGGAGGTTCTCTCGGTTGGAGAAGGAACAAAGGAAGGACATGCTCGGGCCAGGAGGTGCAGTTCCTCGCTGTCGCCACTAGAGGTCAGGAGGCTACCGCTTCAGGGTTGGAAGACGGGCCCGTGGGGGATTGGCTAGTGGTGGCGGTGGGTGCTGAGACTAGGCAGGGGGGTGGGGGTGGCGGTGGATGCCACACCTGGTGACCCCCCTGGTTATTGACATCTGACTTTGGAATGACTTTTGTTTTGTTTTTGTTTGGCGTCAAATTCACCATCTTTGTGGGGCTGAGGGACCAGAGGAAAGAAAGATGCCAGCTTGGGGTCAAAGGGAGAGCTCACACTGCAGCTTCTCAAAGCGCCTTTTTCTCTAACAAGCAGAGATAGAACCTGTAAGGGGTCCAGAACAGTGCTAGGGTCCTAGTGAAGGTTCTCCCTGGGAGGTCTTCTACCCAAGTGCACCATCCTCCACTCAGGCTAGCTGTCCAGGAGCCCCACCTCCCAGCCTGACTGTCCCTGTGGTCAGCTGGGACCATGGTTAAGGACCAAATCTGCTCTTGCACAGTCTAGGGCAGTAGGAGGCCTTGGACTAGGTGCCAGGTGTCCTGGGTTCTTATCGCAGCTGGGTCCTGTGTAGGCCCCTTCTGCTTGCTACTTCTGTGGTGCTGAGTAAGTGGTGCTTACTTCTGTGGTGCTTAGTTTCCCCATGTGTCTAACAAGCAAGTTGTACTAGGTGAGGCTCTAGGTGTACTTCTAACTTGGCCATTCAGCATTTCCGTGTGTTTACAGGGAATTCGTGAAGCTCCTCTCTCAATGAGAAACCTGCCCCCCACCCCAAAGGCAAAGCTAAGACGATAACCCAGAGCTCACCCAGACACAAGGTTCCTCATAAATAGACTCAGCCTCTCTGAATCTCCTTCCTCATCTGTCAGGTGGCAATGGCAGTTAAACCCATCTCACAGGGCTGTGAAGATTCATCAAGACGACAGTGGTTGTAAAACCCTTACCACACACAAAGCCTCCTTAGGGAAAACCAGGACTCCCTGACCAGCAAAGTTTGCCAGGTGCTGTGTGGGGGCTGGAGTCCTGTTTCCCCTGCAAAATGGAAAAAGGCTGATGGGCACTTGGTGGGATTCACATCATCACCCCAGGCCTCAGATGGTAATGTGCTTTGTGTCTGCAGCATAAGGTCTAGCCCCAGTGCCCCTGTGAGCCCTGTACAAGCGTTGGTGTGGGTGTGGTGTCCAGAGCTCTGGGCTGGAGGTGGTGGGGCAGGGGCCATGGAACCTGGTCTGCCCCAGCTGTGGTAGGGCTGGAAGGCCTCAGGTAGATCACTTTCCCTCTCTGGGCTTTGTTTCCCATCAGTGCAGTGATGGGTTGAGCACAGTAATTCCTGGGTTCTGCATTTGTTCATCCAGCGTTCCTGAAGGCCCCTTAGTTGGCAGGAAAAGTTTGGGGCTTCAAGCCTGGGCCCAAGGTTCTGATGCCCTCAACCCATTCCTGGAGACCTTCACCCAGCGTGCAGGGGGCTCTCTCAGCTTCTGGAAGACAGAACCAGCCCTTCCCAGAAACGAGGCCCTGGACTGCTGCTGAGTACTCCTGAAAGGGATCTCAGTAGGGCTAGGATGCAGGGGCAGCCACCTGGGGCTCCCCACTTCCCAACCGTGAACCCAGAAGGGCCCTGGGTGGGGGAAGGGGAGAGGAGGGTAAGGACAAGGAGGACTTTTTGGTTCTTTTCATGCAAAGAAAAACAGACTCTTTCTCTTCTTGACTGCAACTGACCTGATGCTTAAGCTTGGAGCGAGAGGCAGGATCCATCCTCCAGCTTCCTCAGGAGGAGAAAGATCAAAGGTAGGCGAGCTGGGTCTGAGAACTGAACTTGACCGTGCACCAACATCAGTTTAAGCCACTCCCCCTGTGTCTACAAGCCCAGTTGGCCTGGCAGCTAGGGGTGGGGTGGGAGCAGGACTGAGTGCTGTTGCCCCTAACAAGCCCTGCTCCCTCTCCCAGAGAGACCCTGGGTCCCAGACAGTGCCCCTGGCCCAAATCACCTTTCCCCTCCAGGCCTTGTATATGGTTCCCACTGCTTACACTGCTCTTCCCCCTTTGTCTGCCTAGAAACTCCACTCACCCTTCAAGGCCTTGCTAAAGCATCACTTCCTCCAGGAAACCCTCCCTGCTCTCCCAGCCGAGTCAGCAGAGTCCACAGAACGTGCAGGTGGGTCAGGCTGGCCTTGGCATTCCTCACAACCTCATTGTAATGGTTTGTTTCCAGCTCCCTGACTAGATGGGGATCTCCCTGAGGGCAGGTCCTGGGTCTCATTCATCCCCAGGGGCCTGTGGGATCATTGAGTGAAGCACTTGGCCTGTGCCCACGTTCACTGGGAGCTCCAGGATCTTTACCAGACTCCTGGCTCGCAGGTCAACTTTTTCCCACCCACCCAGTCATGCCAGAGATGAACAGATGTAATCAGAACCTCCTTTTGGGAATGAACTTTCTTCAGAGTCCTGTCTTGCCCCGGCCCAAAGTCTCCTTCTCTTACTGCCCCTCTCCCTGATGGCACCCCCGCTCTCTCAGTCTGGGGTCCCCTGCGACTCACTGCTGACCTCTAGTAGGGTCCTTGTCTTCTGGACCGCCCCATCTACTTCCTCTGGGTGGGTGCTGAGGCCAGGGTCCTCTTCTTCCACCTCAGGCCCCAGGGGGGCAAAAGCAGGCCCAGCTCTCTGCCCCCGCTGTCCCTCGGAGGGGCTGGGCCTTCCATGGCCTCTAAGCGGGGGCTGCAGTGGCTCTGTGTCCAAGCAGGCGTCCTGGATCTCCCCAAAGATGGGGGCGAGGCCCTTAGTGGCAGCTGAGGAAGCCCAGGGCCAGGCCTGTGCTGGGCCGGGCAGGGGTGGGTGCAGCGGGCAGGTGGGGTGGGTCAGTCGCTGAGCACGGCCCCCGGGAGCTCGTTGGTGAGCGTGTGCCAGCGCTCGATCCGCTTGTCCTTGTTCTTCAGGCAATCAAACCAGTGCTTCAGGCGCTCGCCCTTGGCATTGATGCCCAGAACCACGCCGCCTGCAGAGGGGAGCCGAGAGGCAGCCGGGACACGGTGACCTCTGACTCTCAGGGTCTCTGTGGAACCAGTATCCCCTGGCACCCCTCCCAGACTTTGTGCTCCACGGCCAGACTCTCTTCCCTGCCCACCTGCTCTGAGGGTGGACAGTGGTCTGACTGCCACACTCTTGGAGCCCCCACCCCCACTCCCCCAATCAGGGTTCAGGGATCCTGCTCTTCCTTTACCCAGGACCAGAGCAGTACCTGCGGGGCAGCACAGTGGCTTGTGTTGGTGCCAGGGCAGCTCCACTGTGCACAGCCACCAAGCCCACCAGAAATTTGGGGCCACAAGGGCTCAGAGTCGAGCCTGAGGGGCTGACCGTCATCACCTCTTACCCCTGCTCCACCACAGACTGCTGTGTGACTCGGCCGGGCCTCTTTCCC